TTGGCGTCAATTAGATTTGGTTAACGATTATGACACATGAAAATCGGTATATTTATTGCTGCAAATTATTTTAATCATATCAACACTTCATTTATATAGTGTACACTACATATACACTATACACACATACAGACAGCGATATAAATTGTATGTTATTTTGCTATTTATTATTAATTTTATCAAGTGGTAAGAGAGACAGGGGAGAGAGAGAGCACTGGGAGTGCAAAATACACCACTTATTATCTCGTTTACAATGAAATGATTGCAATAGAAAAGTGTTGGCCAAAGACGACAACGACAGACATTTACACAAAGGACTGAGTGATAGATCAGTTGAGAAGTGTTGCAAAACTAAATAATAACTTAATAATAAGTGGTGTGTATTTTACACTAAATATAATATATTATTAATATCATTATTATAGCCAACACTTTAATATTTCATGTGATTCTCAGTCAATGGTATTAAGTTATAGTTTTAGAAGAAAGTAGTTTTAATTTTATTTCTCTTCGAAACGCATACAACAAACGGGAAAAAAATGTTTTTAATATTAATATTTAATTTCCATATATTATATAATAGTTGTGTTTCACGACAAGAGTCTCTCTTTCCGACAAACGTTTGAAATTATTTCTCTTTCATCTCAAAAGTCATGCAAATTTTGTGCTGAATTTTTACTGTTAAGTATAACCAAAAATAATATTGTTTTGTGTTTAAACGTAATTATAATTTTTATGTATATTTGAATATAAATTAGAGCGAAATAAAATAAAAACTTATATAACAATAATAATGATATAATGTATTGCTTTTTATTATAAATTTATTTTGTTGTGTAACACAACTTGTGTTGACTTAACATAGATGTCGAAAAAATATATTTCAGTGCATTGAAATGCAAAACTAATATCAAGACATAATATGCAAACTAATATATTATGTAATGTTAATAATAGAGTTATAAATACTAACGAAATATATATTAAAATAATATTTTTCCATTGTTTTGTTGTCTAACTTTGGGTTAAATGTAAATTGTATGCGAAAAACTTGTCGCACAACTTATCAAACAAAAGAAAATTTTAAAAAACATTTTAAGAATCAGTGCCAGTAGTGGGAAGTGTGAAGGCATTGAAAAAATATTTTAAAAATAATATTAATGGTGGATATTATTATTATATTTTGCACTTATAGTGTATAAACCACTGTACAGTATCTCTCTCTCTCTCTCTCTCTCTCTCTCTTCCACTGAATAGTGTAATAATAAGATATTAACTGTTATTTATTTGAATGTTTTTGATAATTATTTTTTATTTTTTAGTTTATGTTTAAAGTGAACATATTTTCTTCGTTTTCCATCAAAATCGCCAGTTTTTTCGCCACAGTTTATGATAAATGCCAACAAATATCCCATAATAACTACAAAACTAATAATAAATTAAATAATAATTTTAATTATTAGTTGCGATTCCCCGCAGACAATACACACGGAAAGCCTATTCAATACACACTTTTACAAACACTTTCTCATCAGTGATGGAGAATATTGTCTAAAAATTACAACAAAAATATATAAATGAAAATAAAATGTATTGAATTCAGGAAAAATAGTTTTTGTTCATCATTTGGTGCGGTTTTTGATTGTGTCGTAAATGAGGTTATTGTAACTCTACTGGTATTGTTGTTGTGGTCGGTGTCGGAGTTAACTTACCATTTCAATTGTATTGACAGTACAACAAAAAGCATTATTTTATTTTCTCTCTCTCTCTCTCTCTCTCTCTCTCTCTCTCTCTTTCCTGAATTTCTGTGATAAAATACATTTCATATAATAATATACAACAAAAGTATTATATGAATAAATAAAATTCTCCATTCATACCAAACATTAAAAAACTATTAATATAAAGTGAATCAAATACTTTCCATTTTAATGCAACCTAAATACAAACATCATGTAAATGCAAACATCAATTCACTAATAAATAATATTTTACATAGATTATATTGTGGCCCTAATCTAATTGTTCATCTAATCGATTAATATCAAAGTTGAATTGCATGTGTAATACAGTATACGTGCGCTCTCTATGTCTCCGGCATTTGATTTACCGATTGTGTAATTGAAAAGTTTTTTCAGTACATTATTGGATATCCATATATAGTGTGTATAACATTATAAACAATGAAGTTTTTCAGGCAGAGATCCTCAGCCTCCACATCGTCTGAACATCAAAAGCGATTGTCATTTAGTGCCGGAGTTAATGGCATCAGTCATAGCAAAGTAGCCATCGATTCAATCGATGATATTGTTAAGAGACTGCGACACGCGTTGAATAAATCGGCCGCTAATTTGCCGGACAATAATGACAGTCCCTATCATAACAGCGGCGGTAGTGGTGCTGGAGGTGCAGGTGCTGGCGGTGTTAGCATCGGTCATACCAATCAAATGCAAACAAACAATAGCCAGGCTATCGCCGCACAGCACCAAACGTGTGTCACAAATGATAACACAATTAGACAATGTTTAGAGGAGTTGAGACATAATATAACAGTAATTTATTTGCACACAATCGCCGCTAATAACAGTCATAACAATAATAACAGCAATAATGACGACCAGAATATCACACAGAATCACAAGAATCGCAGCGCAAGTAATAGCAGTGAATGCAAAGAGAATTCAAGCCCACAAACATCCACCACATCGTCAGCCAGTAATACCCCCACAAAAGCCAATAGTAATAACAACGCAAACAATAATAACATGAAATTGATCGACACATACACTGAAGAGCTTTACTCAACAGATATCATACATGAATTGATCCAAAGGTTACCGCAAATTGGTTTCGAGAATAGGAAACTGATCGCCACTATTGTGTGTAACGCTCTGCTCCTGGAAAGGGATGGCAAACACCTAACGGTTGAGTACATCCGTCGAGAGCCGGCGATTTTGGTGGCACTACTCGACACCTATAGGCGCGGCCGAAGCGATTTGACACTGTTTTCGGGCCGACTCTTGCGCCAGTGTCTGCACCACCAGTCGTTGGCCGCCATTGTGCTCAACGGATCCCACTTTGACGGACTCTTCGCGTATGTCAATCAACGGACGTTTGACGTAGCGATGGACGCGTTTGTAACGTTCAGGACAGCGTTGACGACACACCCGGCGCTCACCGAACAGTATATAGTGGCCAATCGGATCCACTTCTTCCACAACTATCTCCAACTGATAACGGCTGACAATTATGTCACTCAACGACAATCGCTGGAGATATTGGCGCTGATTCTGGCCCAGAGTGTGACCATATGTCGCCAATTCTGTGTGCACTCGGCATACATGTCGGCCGTATTGAAGCTGTTTTGGCACAAGTATAGACACATCCGGTTTCACGCCCTCAACGTGTTCAACGTGTTGATCAATATTGACAGCCAATTGGCGGCCGGAGTGATGGACTTTCTGCTCCTTCAGGCCAATCGACACAGTCTTCTGGAAGCGCTCAACGGGTTCCGCACGTGTCGTACAAAATGCAAACTCTTCTCAGCCCTCAAACCGTTTGCCGCAAAACTCATACAATTTTTTGCCGAAACGACGGCAAACGCTAACGAAACGCAAGACAAACGGCGAATGGATTAATGAATTGACAGTCAATTGTGACAAAAATTAGTTTATTTTTTAAATCTAATTAAATGTTATGATTGTTATTGACATGAATTTTATGAATGATATGTTTTATTAATTTATACCTATATTTTAATGATAATATTTCTTATATTAAGAGATTATTTTTCCTAACGATAGAGTCTTTCCTGCTTTTAAAATCTGTTAAAAAATAAAAGCTATTTATGTCTACAGAGAAAAGTGTTGTACTTTTACTAATATTGAAAATTTTATTTATTACTAATAAAGTCTATTAAAAATCATTAATAAAAAATATAATTAATTATAAAATTGTATTTTATTTTAAAATACTGTTTAATACAGTCTGCATCTGTCTGTAAATATAATTGCTATTTAATACAGTAGCCATAAACTTACATCTTGGTTATTATTTATATAATATGCACAGAATATTACACAGTATGACAGCACAGCATATATGGTAAGTATTGAGACAGGTGTCTGGTTTTAGAGGGGTTTAATCCTAACATAAAGTTTTGCCCCAAACAGTCGACGGTTTGAGTATTGTATGAATTTTGATTTTTAAAAAATAAAATATTAAATAAATTTATTAATATTAGCTTATTCTCTCTCTCTCTCTCTCTCCCTCTCTCTCTCTCTCTCTCTCTCTATAAACTAATACATAGTGTGTACACCTGAGAGATGCACATAACCAAACTCACACATCATTCAAAATAGTTTAGACATTAGGACATCGGAGATAATATCTAAATGTATATACTGTTTAATATATAAAAATACTCTCTCTCTCTCTCTCTCTCTCTCTCTTCCAATAACTCTTTAACCGTTCATTATTTTCAGACAAATACTGAGCTATTGAGCAAATGATGGCCAAAACCCGGTTATAAGTTATGTGGTATTTCTAATGTACAGCAAATGGGACTTACAAGAGATATATCAAATTAATGTGTATTTATGGGCTAATAAGTTAGTAGGGATGGATATTTAAGTTTTAAGCTTCTTTTGCATGTACTATAATATTGTATAAAATTATTTAAAATTTAAATATAAATGTTATTTAATTAAACGATAACATTATTTGAACAATTTTTAAACACTTTATTACATATATTTATAAAAGTTTTAAACTATTTATACGTAACTAAATGTTGAGAGAGAGAGAGAGAGAGAGAGAGAGAGAGAGAGAGAAGTGCTTAAAAAGTTTTCAAGTATTAATCGCAACCTATTTTGATATTGCAATACATTATTGTCTTATATTACTCTCAATTTATAATCAATTTTAATCATCACTGATAACGCGTGTAAACAACTGATGAAACAATAATTAGAGTATTATATTTCATATGATTAATATTGTTTTTTATAACATAATGCTATATATTTTGCTACATTTTATTAATGCTTATATTATATATTTTGTATCGATTTTTATTATGAAATAATTAGCAGAAAGTCGAGAGAAAGAAGAGAAGAAAAGAAAAAACAGGAATGAAATTGGTTTGCATTGAATAGAGTGGCGACAAATATATAGCAAATTGTATCACTTATATACTAAAAATATATTTTATTCAGTACTGTATCTAAATAATAACCATCATAGCAATTTAAACTAATGTTATTTGTAAACTTTTATTTATAAATAGTGATGGAAAAAGTTACAATAGTAGTAAGTAGTTATACAATTCCAGAATTATAAATACATTTACTTATATTGTATTGAAAAATTGAATGAATGCTTAGCTTTTACCTGTTTAAAAAGATCATCGTGTTCAATTTTATTAAACAATTATAAAAATATTAAATTTTTAATAAATATTTTATAGATTATTTACAAAACTAAAAATGTAAAGAATTAATATTTTTGTGTGAATTATTGAATACATAATCTGTTATATTAGTGTAACAAATATTTGGCAATAAAATTGACATTTATTTTTTGATATTTACAATAAATAAAATGTTTATTTATATTCTATGTTTGCATTGTGTTGTGGACATCGATTTAACACTTCTAGTGTTTGCCAAGAATTTTGTCAATACCTTATTCTTGTATTCAATTCTGCTTTTCGTTGAATTCAATGCATTTGTATTGTATGTTATATTTTTGACAAATTATATTTACAAAATAATTGCTCATATCTCGACAGAGAGAGAGAGAGAGAGAGAGAGACTGGTCTTTAAACAACTGTTTCTCCTTTTGATTGCATTTATTATCATTTAGAGAAACCTTTGGAGTGAATGACTACTTGCAGTACATATATCTGCAGGGAAGAGGGAATCCCTTTCCCTTCCCTTCATTTCCCTTCATTTCGCTCTTCCCTTCACATTCCCTTCAAATACTGTGCATTGCGTTTATAATACACACGTATATTATATACAGCAAAATAAACTGCTTTATAGACAATAATATAAACCGTGTCCCATATATATGACCCTACTTTATGGCATTTACATTATACATAATTTTGCCATTTTGCTAAGTATTTTGTCTACCAATAACTAGTAGAATTTAAAAGCAAATAATACACGTTTAATTTGGTATGCCTTAAATAATAATCGA